TTAATTTCATTCTGGTTAGTCTCTTTCCAATAATCTAGTTTTCCTACTCCATTAACTTCTCTCTCTTTCCCCACCCCCCCAGGGTCAACTGTTAATTATTTGGTCTCACATAGTTTTTATAAAAGGAGTCTAGTATTTATGGATTTTATTATTTTATGAGTCAACATTATTTGGCTGAAACACAATGTCTTTTAATAAATTGATGTAATAATTGGTGGTGGGTAGGTAGGTGTCACTATAAACCTACTCAATTTTTCAAATCTAACACATGCAAAAATTAATACATACCTAATGTGACTCCAGGTCAAGCTTGGTTGGAAGCTGCCAAAGACAGACTAAATGTTCTCACTTTCTGTTGCATTTAGTATCTAAAAAGAATGACTGTGTACTTCAGGCAGTTTGTGTTCTCTCTCATACACACATTATCTCTCTCTCTCTCTCTCACTCACTCTTCCCACATTACCTAGCTAAAGTTTCTGAAAAGAAAGAACAGAAAGTTTATGCCTGCTTTTGTAAAGCACTGCCTGGCCACCTGAATGAGAAAGTTCCAATGAGAAATTAAAGCAGCTTTAGTATGCAACCAGTAACAACCTACTGCCTTCCTCCTCCCACCCTGAAAACCATGGTGCTGGCTTAGAAATCCTAACAGGTAAAATTCCAATTTAACAAGATAGCAAATATTACACTGTGTCTAGGTTTCCCTTTTATTAAAGAACTGTTTACAAGGTAAAGGAACGTAAGTAAAACTCTAGGTATATACTTAAACAGAAAAACTTTAGTTCTTGGTTTATTATTACTGCTCATTTTGCAAAGTATACAGTCCTTTAAATTCCTTAACCACTTTTTAGCTGGCGTAAGAAATAATAAAATATATACTTCTGTTAAAACAAAGAAACATTTCTAAGTGAATGCCACTAGCACAGTTAGATGAATAAGCATATGTTCCGAGGTTCAAGGTCAAGTTAGGACTCACTCACAGGGGAGAGGAGGCAGGAGAAGGGCAGGGCGGCAACAGCAAAGTCAGCGTGACCACCTTCCTTCCCTAAAAAGTTTCAGTATAAAGACGCTAAAGAACAAAGGGCAAGTTACCAAGAAAACAAACTGAATTTAAAAATTGAGCTTGACACAGACTTTTACATTCGTAAGGGACATGTCCAAAGTAATTTTTAGCATCCCTTGGGTGAAACTTTTTTTGAAGACCTGTATTTATTTCCACAGAAGCTTCTCACAGATTTTAAAAATTAATGACTTTGTAAGCATTAAGTGTCTTCTGGCTAGCAAATGTCAGGAGTGTTAAGACATTGTTTGTAATAATAAAGGGACGTGTTGGTGTGATACAAGGTAGCTGGTTAGCAAAAACCACTATGCTGATCATGACTAAAGTATGACTAAGCAAAACTGAAATAATACACCACAACAAGATAAAGGTAAATAATCCAATAGAAAAATGGGCACAGGATATGAACAGGCACTTCACCGAAGACGACATTCAGATGGCTAACAAACACATGAAGAAATGCTCAAAATCCCTAGCCCTAAGAGAGATGCAAATTAAAACAACTATGAGATATCATTTCACCCCAGTCAAAATAGCAAAATTTAACAGAACAGCAAGCAACAAATGCTGGCGAGGTTGTGGAGAAACTGGAACCCTGATTCACTGTTGGTGGGAGTGTAAAATGGTGCAACCCCTGTGGAAAGCAGTATGGCGCTTTCTCAAAAAGTTGCAAATAGAGGTACCATTTGACCCAGCAATTCCACTACTGGGAATATACCCTGAAGAGACCATAGCTGACATCCAAGCAGATATATGCACACCCATGTTCATTGCAGCTTTGTTCACAATAGCAAGGAGTTGGAAACAACCTAAGTGCCCATCAACAAACGAATGGCTAGAGAAGCTGTGGTATATTCGCACAATGGAATACTATGCTGCATTAAAAAACAAGGAACTCATGCAATATTATTCAAAATGGTTGACTCTGGAGAACATTATGCTGAGTGAAATATCCCAGTCACAAAAGGACAAATATTACATGATGCCACTGTTGTAGAATGGGACTGTCCTTGGGGTTGGGGAGAGACTGAGTAAGATGGGTTCAATAATGTATACTGCACTGAAACAGAGGAGGGAGAGAACCGTTTAAAAGAGAGATATAACTGGGTATTTCTGTCATCACAGGAGACTAGAGCGAGGGCTACAATGGTGGAGGGGACCTGGGGGAGGGTTTGTAAAACAATGAAAGAATCTTTTCTTTTACTTTTCCATAATTTTTGGACTCATGTACTTATAACTTGTTAGTCAAATTTGTGTCTTCTAGGTTGCAACACCCCCATGATACATCTTCAAGGATATGAACATGTACAGCCAAGCACAATCAATAAGAGTGCATCTAAATTCCAAAATCAATCTCCATAATAGTCTATGTGTTTCCTACTGCCAAAGGGGCCCTTTAGAGTAGTGAGAGAAGATCTTCACCCTGAAACCCACAGCGTCCCTTTTCAGCAGGAAGTAGCTAAGAGAATACGCCATCCCCTTTTCCTTATGACTCAGGGTGGTCTCTCTCAGGGAGGAGTGATACGGAATGGCAAAGGACACACTGACAAAGAAGATTAATCAGAACTGGCTTTGACAAGCACTGTGGCATTTGGACAAGAACAAACTGGGAGGAGGGTAGAGAGAATAGTGCAACAATGAATGAGTGGAAGCCCAAAATCTCTGTAAATGTTTATGAAAATTAATAAAATATAATTATAGAAAAAGAAACAAAAACAAAAAACTGAAATAATAAAACTTAAAGCATCAAACGCAGAGGTTGTTCACTTGATTCTTTCAAGAAGTGAAACTGACAATGCCTGTGAATTCACTTTACCACAGAAATCTAGTGTTTATGATTTTGAATATCACGACATTGGGATTAACATTAAATTCATACACATAAAATGAAAACGTTATAGATAGAAGAATAAAGCACATTTGTTAGCACTGACATTACAGGATGTTTTTCTCCTAAGAAACTGGATTTATTTCAAATAGCAATGTTGCCAAGTATCTGTAATAAACACATTATTTGTGGGTGAACAGCAGCTAATAAAGGGCTTTAAGAATGCTGTGTTTTCTCCTTAATTCCCTTTCCTCCCTTACGTTTATTTTGATGAGACTAAACACAGCAAAACATATTACTAATTCAACAGTTTCTACATCACTCAGTGACACCAATTACATTTAAGTTGTGTGACCATTCTATCCACATTTCTGGAATTATCTCCCCCCCATTAACATATAAATTCACTAGCCCCTAAGGTTCCGATCTTTCAAGTTGCTGTTGTTACTCCAGATATAATATAAACATCAAAAGAACACAATGTTCAAGGCAGACATTTTTATTAATAAAATTATTGTTCGGTTTTATGATTACTTCAAGTCTAAAGATTATTTTAGGGCCATAATTTCAGGGGATCATTGAACGTCTGTCGTCTGACTGCCCCCTTTTAATCAGGAAGGAACATATGAAAAATGCCCACTTTTACAATTTTGTCACCAATACAAATTGTTTAATTAGTGAATTATTTTCAAATAACCTTCATCTGGGTGAATTATTTTAAAAGCTCAGTAAGAGGATCTGAATTAATGAGATTTAACTGGTGCTGAGGTTGTAAGACTGTCCAATGGCTCATTCTATGCAATACTAGACTATGACTACTGAGAGAGCAACAGATGCAATTCTTTTGGAAACCGCCTAACTGACATTCCAATTAGAAAGATACATCATGACAAAAGCCTGTCATCTAAATTATGGCTGTACACTTTCAAAAAAGATCAAACCAATATACTTCAAGAATCTATTATCTATTTGAATAAAAGGCATTTTGTGATTTGCTTTATTGTAATAAAAAGAAAAACACCAAAAAACAAAAAACCCCAGTCAGGTTTCATTTCAATTAGACAACTTTTACTAAATGAGAAAACTACATTAAAATGTGCTTTAAAACAAAACAGGATTAGAAAAAAAGATGTATGCATTTTAGATAACTTTGCACTGTGCTGAAATCAAATATCTCTTGCAGTAAATACAATGTGCCAATTCAAAAAACTCTAAGTTTAAACAGAATTTTCAATTTAACATTTTCAAAGACAATATTTAGGTCAAGATTTTCACATCAATGGCAGCACATACAGAAGGGCATTATAAATTGATGTCCATCCTATGACACTTAGAAATTTGACAATGCTCAATAAAAGCGTTTAGAACCATATCCAAAGATAAATCTGTGTCCTTTAAGTTCTTGTTCTATTATAATCTTTATGTTGACTTTTCTATTTGCCATTTGTTAATATTAACCCTTTAAAAGAAGAGGACAGGAAAAGAAATGCAATAAACTCTTGATCATGTACAGAAATTATTGCTACTATAGTTCACTACAAAGCATGTCTATACAACATCATATGAACTTGATCATGAAAAATCAGAAGAATAAAAATCTTTAGTGACATAAGCCTTACAATCGTATACAACATTCACATGGCAATAGTAGACAGTTATGCACCCAATAACTAAAGTTGACTGACCAGCATTCACTTAAATACATCCTTCTTACAGAGGGGGAAGAGAGAGAGAGATAGTGTTAGCTTTCCAAGGCTTGTCAAAAAAGGATTCTCATGTTCTGTGAATCTAAAAACAACAACAACAACAAACAACAACAAAAACAGAAAAAAAACAAAACCAATGCAGGTGAAGGTGTTACCAGAAAGCTAAGCATGCCAAAAGGTGTTTCGTGCGAATTAAACCTAAAGCCAAGGTACCACATAATCACATTTCCAACTAGTTGGGTAATACTATATGAGCCTTATCATAAAGTTAAATGAAATGCTACTGCACAATATAGCATCAATAAGTTAAAAATGATAGTGCACAAATCCAAATCAGTGACAATTTCTGTATAAAGCACAGTATTCATTATCAGCTGCAAAGTTTGTCTAGTCAAACTGATTAAATCACTGGATTGGACAGTTTGTGAATATTTTAAGCAATCAATCTCAAAGATTCATTTTTCCTGTATTGAGGCATATATTTTCTTAGGAAGATCAAACAGGTACATAAGTAGAGAAAAGTAAGGGAAAATGAGTTGGTGAATACCTTTAAAGCTCTTCCCACATTTCACTTTTAAAAATGTTTGGGGAAAAAAAAAAGTAAAGTATCTGCCATTACTGTAGCAAAACAAACAAAATAAAATAAGCATAAAATAATTAAACAACCAAGCAACACTAAAACCACATTACACTGATGAGTCACCATGCTTTCATGTGGTTTAACTATTACATCTAGTTTAACTGCGATGCTCTTCAATTTTAAAAACTGTGATACTGTGGATGTAATTTTAATGGATATTTTTAAATTTGGATTTAACTTTGTTGAATTCATTTTAACAGAGTATACTTATTACAATACAGTGTAGCACATCTTTCTATTAGAAAAAAATTTAAGATCCTTTACCCGTCTCCTTAAGTTAAAGGTATGACATCATAAAGGGTGTCAAATGGCTGGATGGTTTTACAGTGCACACTTATATATTATGAAGTATGTCCTTAACAAATCTGATAGTTTCATTTCACAGTCCCTTTCTTCACCTTTTCTTCGGTGGATTAGCTGTTCGAGGTGGAGTAACAGGACGTCCAGAATTCAGGCCACCATACTGGTACTTAGCTTTCTTTTCAGATGGTTTCAATATCTTAAAGTAAATAATTAACAATGTTATTTTTTTCCAACAAGCTATTTAACTGACTTTCAGAATCTAAAGAAAATTTTACAATGTTGCATTCTTTTAAAAAAGGGCCAGTTTCATAATTATTACTCACATTTAAACACTACAAATGTTTGAGTATTACTGAGTGACACTATATCAGAATCAAGTAAAAGACTTACTACATATGACTGTATTTATCATTTTCTTCCTGTTTCAATCACAAAAGCTCAAGGAACCATTTATTAGAATTAAGTAAAATTGTTTTCAAATTTGCTTATCTCCATGGTGAGGAAGAGAAAGAACATTCATTTAAAAGTAAAAATTGTTGGTTTTAGTGATGATTCTGGCACTATTAAGACTATAATCCTCAACAAGTCACATATACTTTAGACCTTAACTTTTAAAATATATTTTTAAATAAAGTTGTATTGAAAAATAACTCACATTTAAAATTCAGCTTTTCATAAAGTATACACACTGATAATTTTTATTATATTTATAGTTGTACAAGAAGTCCTGGTGGTACACTGGTGAAGTGTTGGCTACTAATCAAAAGGTTGGCAGTCTGAGGGAATAATACCTAGAGATTTGCTTCTGTTAAAGATTACAGCCAAGAACATCTATACAGCAGTTCTGTTATATAGGGTTGTTATGAATAATAATATACTCAGTGGCACCTAACAATTAAACATAGAGCTGTACAATAATTTTATAATAATCTGTCAATCCAAAATCAAACTTTGTGCCCATCAGTAACAACATCACCACCATTAACTCTCGTTGTCATGTAGTCAGAACCAACTAACTGACTCTCCAGTAAATTTTCAGAAGCTGTAAATTGCATGGAAGGAGACTGTTCGCCATTTACCTGAGACGCACATTTTCTATGAACTTCGTTTAATGATGCTATTATATGCATAAGGGAGCTCTGTCTAGTGGTAAAGAGCTGCAGTGACAACCCAAAGGCATGGAGTTCAAATTCATCAGCTGCTGTGCTGGAGAAAGTTGGGCAATCTCCTCCCGTGCCTCTGAAAACTTGTTGGAAATTCACTTATGAATTGGTTCCAATTTGACAGTACATCACAACTGTAGGATATGTCCTATTTTGTTTAACCATCGATCAGCTGATAGCTTTTTGGGCTATTTCCATTTTTCCTTAAATTTTGTTTCATTATTTTTTTTGTGTGTACACCATCAAATCGGATCTGACTGGTATAGGAGAAGACTATCCCTCCCTTCACCTGGAGGATTTGAACCGCATACCTCTGGAACTGCAGTGCAGCTTCTTGCCACTAGGCCACCAGAGCTTCCAAGCGATTTCTACTTTTTGGCTATGCAAAAAGCTCAAAATATTTGTGTCTAAAGTTGGGTTTTTTTAGATTAAAAAAGTTTTTCTCTTAGGTTGCTACCTAGAAAAGAACTGCTGGATCAAATAGTAATTCTATGTTTAACTTGAGGAGCTGCCAAACTGATTGCCAAGTGGCTGTTTTTACATTCCTACCAGCACATAATGCTGCCTCAGTGGGGAAAAAAAAATGTCTAAACCTAGTAAGTAAACTGTCAAAAAATAGGGCCTGGTGACCCTCTGAAACTGGAAATGAATAATCAACCATCAAGTTGATGAAAACGGTGTAAAATAAAATTTATTTTTTATTTAATTATTTTGTGTGTGTGTACTGTCAAATCAGATCTGACGGGTACAGGAGGAGATTGACCCCCTCTTTTTCCAGCAGAGCATCTGGTGGATTTGAACTGCGGTACCTCTGGGATTGCAGTGCAGCTTCTTGCCACTAGGCCACCAGAGCACCCTAAAGACCCTCTATTTTTAAAAAGAGAAACATAGCAAGAAAGAAAAGTGACTTGTAAGCAGCACACTAATGTTGTTCTTCTTTTGAAAAGAAAATGTTTTCTATTTTTGTAAATGGTTACTGGAAGATTATATGGGAAAATTATTCTAGTTTATTCTCATTTGAGTTTGTAATTTTCTCTCTCCAGTATTTATCTTACTTATTAACCCTCCAAAAGAAAGCAAAATCCCAAGTTAGTTAAGGCATTCACATTTAAAATAAGTAAGCGACTATTCAACAGGTTATACAGGAATTAATTTAAACAGTTGAAATAAAAGATGAACTGGTGTTACTACAATTTCCTAAAACCTCATACTTGAGGATAAAGATTAGAATCTCTGTAATCAAAACCAGAAATTTCTAATAAGCCAATTGGTAAGAATTACTTCTGAATAATTTAAATTTTCTATACTTGCTCAGGGAAAGATCACAAATCAAAAAACTTCTTCTGACATTCCTGACAATCATAAATGTATATGCATATCATACCTGAAATGAACACATCAAGGTTTCATCCACACTCATCATTCCACCAGCATTATCAAACTCGCCACAATAATTTGGGGCTGAAAACAGGGTTACCAACTGTCGCTTAGCAAAAAATTCATATCCATCTTCAACCACCTATCACAAGAAATGTTGAAAGAAAATCACACTGAAATTTATTCATGCTAAATCTCAATTAACTATGAAAACTGACATCAATGTGGCCAAGTTCTAAAAGAAAGTTTGGCAATTGTAAATTTTATTCTTAAGCTTTCCTCAGAATCTTAAAATTAGTGTTTCTTTTCTATAATGTTTAGAATTTAGCTTAAATGAAGTAATAATAGACTATTACTGGAAGGTTTAAAAATTACCATTCTCAAGGCACCCAGGAAACAAAAGAAAAATATACTAATAGTGCAAACAGGGAGTTAGAACACATAGTGCTAATTTTTGGTGAAATTAAGATCAAACCAGAGAATATTTAATTCGGTGAATAGCAAACCCAGCAACAGAAGAAAACTTTTCTGAAAGAAATTCAATGAAGAGTTGCTAGTAGCCACAACTCCCCAGCATTGTGAGGTGTTAAGCATGGAGTCCTGGGTGGTGCAAAGGTTAAACATCTGACTACTAATGTCAAGGCTAGGGTTTCCGGCTCACACACAAGGGCTGATCTACAGGACAAAAATGAGTCTTTAAAAATCGTAGAGAGCTAGGGATTTTGAACATTTCTTCACGTGCTTGTTGGCCATCTGCATGTCTTCTTTGGTGAAGTGTCTGTTCATATCTTGTGACCATTTTTCAATTGGGTTGTTTATATTGTTGTGGTGCTCGTCATTACCAAATAACTTTTTCCTAGTCTGTGGCTTCCCTTTTTACCCTGTTGGAGAAGTTTTTGGATGTGCATAGGGATTTGATTCTTAGAAGGTCCCATTCATTATTTATCCTCTCTTGGCTGTAGATTTTTCAGGATACTTGGAAAACGGTTTATGTTGTGGATTAGGACTTCTAGAGTTCTTCCAAGTTTTTAATGAAGGTTTTAGTCCTAGACCCACTTTTTTAGTCCATGATATACTTTGACTTCGTTTTTGTGTATGGAGTGAGGTGTGCATCTTGCCTGAGTTTTCTACAGATAGTTTTCCAATTTTGCCAGCACCATTTGTTAAAAAGGTTTTGCTCCCAATAGCAAAGAGTTGGAAACAACTCAAGTGCTCATCAACAAACATGGATAGAGAAGCTGTGGTATATGCACACAATGGAATACCATGCTACACTGAAAAACAAAGAACTCATGAAATATTATACAAAATGGGTGACCCTGGAGGACATTATGTGGAGTGAAATATCCCAGTCACAAAAGGACAAACACTGTATAAGAGCCACTATTGTAAAACATAACTGACATCGGGGTGGGGGGTGGGGGGAGAATGAGAAAGAGGGAATAAATAATGTACATTGCATTGAAACAGATGAGGGAAAGAATGTTTAAAAGGGATATATGATGAAGTAGTATTGTCAAGACAGGACTCCAGAATGAAGGCTGCATAGTGTAATGGACTTTAGGGGGAGGGACTGTATAACAATAGAATTTTTCTTTTGCTTTTCAAAGAGAAGAGCTAATTGGGTGGGACAGGTGGACAGAGACAAAAGTACAACAATGAATGAATGGAAATCTAGTCTCTGTAAATGTTCATTAAAAGGAAAAATAATAAAAAAAGAACAACAAAACCCTTACTACATAGCCATAGTAGTCAAGACAGCATGGTACTGGTACAGTGACAGACTCATAGATGAAACGGGGGTGGGGAAAAATAAAATCTTAGAGAGCACAGATCAACATGGTCACCAGGAGTCAGAACAAACTCCCCCACAAGTGGTTCTGGCAAATGAGCAAGATACTACTTTAATACAAGAAAGCACCAGTCATTTTCCCTTTTCTTCCTGCAGCCTGTGAAGGCCTGCTGGAATAGGACATCTAAATCATAAATCTGGAATAAAGATAGAATGCTGTGGTACAAAGCTGTTTTTGGTTGGGGGAGGCGGGGAAATCCCAAACCCAAACCACAAGTTCTGTGGAACCAGAGAGAGAATATAGTAAGTCTTTTCAAAACTGACTGTATAATCTGCAGCCCTAAGGCCTGGTTTTAATGGTTTTCGGTCAAACATTCTTCTAAGTGATATAGCACTGGTCTGCCCATTTGCTGTACAGAAGTAACTCATGGTTGCTGTGACGCTAGACACTGTGACTCTGATGTGTCAAATGGGATAATGGCTACCCATGGTGGACAGTGTTTGGTGGAGAACAAGCCTGGAAACAGGAGTGGCTTCTACTTCCGAAAAAGCTTGCCTCCAGAAACTGTGAACTTGGAGAAATGAAGGAAGTTATACAAGTGTTCAGGTCTTTCGTTCACAGAGTTGTCTACAACTTGATGGTACAACAACAATATAATGCCTAAGATGAAACTGAATTCTACTTAAGACAATAAATTCGCAAATCACAGTGGACCATAGGGATAAACCAAATAAAAATGGAGTAATGTGAAGAAATATAACTTGAGCTGTTGGGACTAGTGGTGTGTCATGCCAAAGTCCGAAGCAACCTTGCTGCTAAGGCCACTATAGAGAGATTGTGTAATGAATGAAAAAAATAAAAAATTAAAAATAAAAAAATTGTTTTCCCCTAGGATCTAAATTTACTGAAAACTAAAAAGAAAGCTTTGTCAAAATAATTATGATGTTGTAGAACCTCTATCATCGGTAAGCCGATACACGAATCAATTATAATTAAACACATAGAACAATTAAGATATCATCAAACTTGTCTATTAGATTATAACCTCATCTATCTCCATGCTCAGCAGTGTTAGGCATCAAGTACATGTATCTTTCATAAAAACTTCATTCAAAATGAAAGTTTATTCACTCTTTTAAGCTTTATTAAGTCAACACTGGTAGTTTGCCATTGTGGGTTTCTCAAAAAAAAAAAAAAAAAAGGAGGAAAGTTGGGTAAAAGTTAAGTTAAACAAATAAAATATTATCAAATAAAATATCTAAGGAGTTTTATAATCCATACCTGATGAGCTCGACAAATCAAGTCCAAATCATGACGGTTCAGAAATTTACTGACGACATCAGCTCCAAAAGTGAAGGAGACACCACGATCATTTTCTCCCCAGCCTTGCACATCCTTATCTGGATCGGACCACAGCAAATCGCAGAGCAAACCTTAAAAGAAAAGTACAACAATAAAACAAACTCCTCAAATGTATAAAATAACCTATATTCCACTTTTCTGCCTTACTTATTTAGCAGTAACAATTATCTGCTCTCCAGTACCCAAGTCCACTGAAATTCCTCACTTTGCTGAAGTAACTATACAACTGTAGTAACGAAGTGCTTTCCTGTCTTTTCCACATGAAGGAAGGAACCATCTTTGTGCAGCTTACTTTGAGTATTACAAGGTCTATGAAAAGGGTTGCTCTGTTCATGCGTCTGGTTTCTTCATATGAATAATCAAAATGATCAAGGATTATTTAGTTGATCATCTGATCTTCTACTGTCTTCCTTAGTCAGTTTGACTTTCAGGTTTATACAAGCAAGTGAAAAGATCATGGCTTGCATTAGACACACCTTAGTCTTTAAACAGACATCTCTGCTCTTCAGCTCTTTATAGAAAGCCCCTTTAAGGCAGATTTCCCCCATGTGATGTTTTTGATTTCTTCATTGCTACTACCAAGGATGTTGACTGTGGATCCAAGTAAAATGCAACTGTCAACAATGTCAATTTTTTCTCCATCTATCATGACGTTGCCTATTGGCCTAATGGTTAGGATTTTTTTGACTGCGTCATAATTCATATTAAAAGATGTATTAAAAAGAAGTCTTTTTCACTTTCTGCAAGCAAGTTTGCGTCAGCTTCATAACCCAAGCTGCTGAGTCTTCTTTTTAAGTCTTCCTCTTCTGATATCACATACTTCTTCATACAGTTAAGCTTCCCAATTTTCTGAACATACAGACTGAAGAGGATGGAGAAAGCTTGAAATATACCTCTTCTGATTTTTAAACCATGTAGAACCTTGTTCTGTTAGGAGAACTGCTTCCAGGTCTTTCTAGATATAGGACATGATTACCAGTTTCAGGTGTCATAAACATGGTTAAAAAAAATGCACCCCTTAAAATGAGATTATCATTTACTCATCAGCTTGATGATCAAGAAAGGGAAAAGTAAAATTAAGGAGGGATTAAGAGGGAATGAAGGTGAAATATCATTACTGACTTTCTAAGAACTAATGTACTGAGAGAAGTAAATTGAGCATTAGGGTCAAAGAATTTTAGAATTTTCTTTTGTTAACTCATAAACGTTCTAATATAATATGTAGCTTAGTAGAGATTTTTACTAGAGTCATAGTATAATTTGTCTGTCTTTAAAATTGATGGCAATTTCTACTACTGACATTTCTTTACAACTTCTGCTATGATGTTGTTGTTATGTGCCGTCGAGTCGTTTGTGACTCATAGCAACTCTATGTACAACAGCCCTAAACCCTGCTCTATCCTGTGCCAACTGCACTGCCTCTGACACACCCATCCCGATTACCCCAGTCACTGAATCAATCCACCTCATAGAGGGTCTTCCCCTCCTGTGCCATCCCTCCACCCAGCATGATGTCCCTCTCCAAAGACATTTATTTAAATCAGAATTTTAATAGTTTCCATTAGAATTACAAGTTCATTACTTTAAATATTTCTTAGTACTCCACTGTGTGATTGTACGATAGTTTCCCTATCTATGAGTCTCCATTTGGTTTAATCATATTACAATGACAATAAAAATCTTGTTAGAATTGTATGATTTTCCTCTTTTAAAATCAACATAAGTAAATTATGGTGGTCTATAAATTATGAGATAAGAAAGAGCCTTAGTAGCAAAGTGTATGTACGAAGCCACTTGCTAGTAAAAAAAGTCAACAGTTTGAATTTACAAGGCACTCTAAGCAAGAAAGACTGATAACGTCCTTCCTTAAGAATGTATAGCTGACATCGTGGTGGGGGTAAGACTGAGCAAAACTGGACAAATTATTTTACTGCATTGACGTCTATGAGGGAGAGAATAGTTTAAAAAGTATTATATTTTAGGGCATTATGTTTATCATAAAAGTACGGAATGAGGGTTGCAGAGTGGATTATATTTGGGGTGGGGCTTGGGTTGGGGGTGTGCAATGGGGGATTGTGTACCAATGAAGGAGTTTTGCTTTTCAAGGAGAGGAGCGAAGGGGGGTGGGGGTGGAGAAAAGTGCAACAATGAATGAATGGAATTCCAAATCTCTGTAGATGTTCATTGAAATTAAAGAAAAAAAAAATTTTTTTTTAAAAAAAGAATGCACATTCGCAATGAAGTGGCCAACCGGCGGAAGAAAATCTATGAAGAGCAGAATCGAGGCATCTACATGTTCCGGATAAACAATGAACATGTGATTGATGCTACGTTGACTGGAGGCCCTGCCAGGTATATTAACCATTCCTGTGCCCCTAACTGTGTGGCAGAAGTTGTGACTTTTGATAAGGAGGACAAAATCATCATCATCTCCAGCCGGCGAATCCCCAAAGGAGAAGAGCTGACCTATGACTATCAGTTTGACTTTGAGGACGATCAGCACAAGATCCCCTGCCATTGTGGAGCCTGGAATTGTCGGAAATGGATGAACTAAGAAGCTTTGAGGCTACCAGGCAGGGGAGTCTCCCCACCCCCAACCTCTTCCCAGAAAGGGATGAGGGGGAAGAGCGGTAGCAGCCAGAGCCAGGACCCAGGGCTGGGGCTGCCGGCTGACCGGAGCCCCTGGAGCAGGAGGCTGGGGCTGAGGGCCCTAGACCAAGCCCACCCTGGGCACCAGGGACAACC